GCTATGGCGTCTAGTAAGGTGTTTGAGGTATGGACTTCGGTCGATGTGGCGAGGATGTGGAATCGTGCTTCGCGGGAACTGGGTAGCGAAGCGAGGAACTTGGACTGTGGCGTTCTTGCGACATATGGGTGTGTGTAAAGAGAAGCTCCTGCTTGTAACGCCTCGAAAGATTCATCTGTAATGAGAATGCTGTGTACGCCGATCTTATCTTGCGAGTATGGGAGAGAACCAGCTGCAAGGTGCTTTGCGAAGAGTGGTGAAGTGCCTGAGCCTTGGGCATGCCGTTGCGATCTGCTGCGCTTTTGTTGTGTAAGCGTGACTTGGTGTTTGGCGTCTGTCGTTGCCGAAAGGGCCATCGAGATGCCGAAGGCACCATTCTCCGATGACGCGTCTTGTTGGTCAGCGCCGTTGATTAACTGGCTTCCCAGTATTACTGAGAGTGCCGCAAGTTCGGCAGCTGAGACCTTGACGCTCAACCTTCCATCCTCATACTTTGCAGTTTGACCATCTTTCACCCAAGCCCGCTGTATAGCCTTCGGGTCGTCGTCTCGCAGTCCATTGTGCGTCGATACCAAGGCAGACGCCGGCTTCTTCACAGATAAGCCCCTAGCCAAACCCATCTCAACCACCGATAAATCTAAGCTCTTCCTCGCAGTCTTTGGGCTAGGATCCGCTCGCCGAACATTGGACATCGACTTTGACCGCCCCACGCCGCTCGCAGGCTTCTTTGCTCGAGCAAGAAACTTCGTCATGTCTCCGGGGTATGACGATCGCTCTGAGATTGGTCTGTTTCGAACTTCGTTCGCGAACGCATCGTACAAGGTTTCGAGTGGTACCTGTCCGGGATGTCCTTGGAGGTTGGTAAACAATGCGGAGGAAATCAAGCCCTCATCACCAGCCTTGATGATGCCCGACAATGTTGGCACCCAATGTCCTTTGCTAAGACTTTGCTTTGGGGTCAAGAATCTCTTCCACGAGCTGGAGATTTGCGTGAGTTGAACCTGCCGCTCAGTCTTGCCGTCCGTAGTGAACATGTCGTCTGTCGATGTGGTCTTGGGCTGCTTGTGCAGGAGGAAGCGTGTAACGAGTGCCATGGCGGCGAGAAAACAGAGTCCAAGTACGACGCTCGCTGCGACTATTTCTTTCGTGTGCATTCTAGATTTGGCGGGTGTTGTCTCTTATACAAAATGTCGCTTGTTGTTAGTAGGCCGTTAGACCCTGGCAGGTCTGACAGGAGGTAACCTTGTCGCCCAATCGGAATGCAGGGAAGCTGCCACTAATCCCTGCGTCGCTGTCTCGGACATGCTGGCAGCCGCTTCCTTCGTAAAGATGGTGCGAGGCGGCCAGGAGTCATCCATCATTCGTCAGCGCATCGTGCTGTCCCGTGGTTCGCTTCATTTGTCAGATAGTCATCGAAGCGGTCCTCTTTCTGCAGAGACAGCACGCTGACCGTCAAGTCCAAGAGCGAGCACGTGTATCGCGGGTACTGTAAGCTTCAGGAATGCCTGTAATAGCCACGTCTGGATGTTTGCATATCCAAAACAACGTGCGCTTTTGGCTGCTATCTCAAACAGTCCGGCAGCCAGACCTGTGAGATCAGAACATGATTTCCAACGATGCAGATCCTGATATCCACGCGACCCCACACGTCAAATCAGAGTTTGGCTTCACGGTTGCAACTGTTTCTGCCCTACAGGATCATCGTGGCCAGCGGAGCGTCGGACAAGGAAGGGACGAAAAGAGGCTCGACGCACGGGCCCTCTATGATGGCATCCCCGCGAGGTTTGGGTTGGAGAAGCGCCGAAATCGCCAAAGCGAATTACCGTTTCCTAGGTTTCAATGCGATGTAAACAACCGTGCCTGATGGAAAAGGAGACTGGCATAGTTGCGACGTCATAAGAGGTCGGGATAAGATGGGAGCCGCGAAGCTTAGCAGGTGAGTTGCAACCCCTCAGATCCAGGGTGCGAAATGCTCCGTCGGCCCACATCGGTTGGCAGCGAAGATCTCCGAACACCACCAATAAAATTCAGTGCAAGGAACAGATTTTTTGTCCGCAACTGCGATCGTCTGTTCTGGAACTGCAGAACACATCGCGACCGGATCTTGCGGATGGTCGCGACCCGAGACGCCCGGGAACTTCAGCTCGGCCTCTCGTGATGCGCGCGGAGTAGGAAAGCCAGAGTATTCGGCCAACCGCACATCACGCACTAAGAACTTCCTGCACAGTCCGTTCAAAGCCGAATATGCAGTGACTGACTGAACGGTGAAAAGAAGTAACCGGGGTTGGCGGCGTGGACAAGTGCGCTTCTCCTCTGATTCATACGGCTTTCGGTTTTTACGAAAGCGCAATCATCTTTTGTCAGCAGCCGGCTTCTGACTCTATCTTGGGTCGCTTTGCTTTGAACGCGCATCACAAGAGATGGATGAATTGCTCGGCTTGCATTCGAGCCTCAGTAGGTGAAGATGTCGTGGCATTAGAGGCCTATGGAATCCAGAGAGGTTCCAGGTGACTGCTTGGTGTTGCGACCTTGGCGATATGTTCCAATAAGCTCTTGTACCCTGAGGAGTTTCTTCTGAGATAGCAGAATGGGTATGGGATGGTTGAAGATCAAGATGATATGTGCGCGGACGGAAAACATAGTCAGACACTGTCGAATCCGGAACTTGCACGTCGTGCTATACGGGAGTCGCTGTGACAGGCCGGACAAGCGGGGCGAACGAGCTGCAGCAGCGCCAACGGTACATATCCAATATAGCACCCCAACCATACCATTCCACACGTTTGCGAGGTCGGTACGTTCTAGAGTCTGCAACAACTCTTCGCAGATATGGGTTGTGAGTGAGATCTGGCTGCCATGTGGCTCGTTCAGAGCTCCAGTTTGGACACAAAATGGGTAGCGACTTGACATTGCAGCAACAGAGAAAGGCAAGCGGCGTACGATGGAAGTCGTGTAGATCGTGGCAGTGAGACGACACGCCTCATAGACCCAATCGCAGGAGTTTGGATGATCTGGAGTGTAAGCCGAAGGTAGTTTTGCTAATCGATCGCAAATTCCAGCCACTCTTGTCTTACGATAGACGTCATTGGAGGGCGGACAGGCTACATGAACGTCTGTAGCATCGCTAGCGGGCTTAAGTGCTATGCTTTGCGCCAGTAGTAGGTCGGTCAAGTCGCGCATATCTCGAAGTAGGCCACATGTGGTAGATGAGCAACGCTCTTCGTTGAGAAGGTTCCGGAAGTCAGGCCCTGGGCAGAACAACGGGGATTCTGGTATCGCGACATCTGCGTCGTCGTTGACCGATTCATACTTTGCAGGCTCCCACAACGCAAAAGTCGGCAGGGGTTGGGCTTCGTAAAGTAGGTCGCAGTGGAGACAACACCTGGAAGCATTATTAGTCTGCCCTCTTTATCAGGAGGTCATGAAGCTTACGAAGTGGCAAATCGCGCGATTATCGCCCTACCGGTCTTGTCCAGGTCACCGCACAGGTGTATCATCTGTTCGATGCCTCGTTCGTGACACCGCACTGTGGGCTCATCACAGCTCCACATGTCGCTTCCTAGCAAGTGTATCATCACTAAGAGGGTTGACACGGCGTGCTCCCGTGTGAACGACTGAAGCCGAAGCCTGAGCATGACCAGGGTCTCATCCCTGACAAGCCTAGTCCTTATACTTTCGCCTGGAACTTTTGCGAGCATATCGAGCCAAGTACATGTCACGGACCCGATACCACTGAGCAATACATGGGGATGAACCATCATTTCGGGTGCCCATGCCTTGATTAATGCTTCCGTCCCGAACGCCCGCATGACTGTTTATGTCAGCCCTTGAACGAGAGCATACGACGTGAAAAGTCTGGAGAGTTATGTACACCTACATGCACGTAGGATGAAACCACTGTTCAAACTAGGGTTCTCGAATTGGGGCAACACCTTGAAAGGGTCAAACCCGTCTCCGATCTGAGGGAAAGTGGTCGCGAATAGACGAATCTTGCGTTCTTCTTGGCTCTCGGTGTACTCGTATTCAACAACCTTTTGGAAGCTTCTACTCTGCCTTCGGCCTGAGCGAGTCGACGGACGGCGTTCAAACGCAGCATCATGAGCCTCAGCACCGCTCGCTTCCTTTAGGGACCTCGTCGTCGGTACATGAATACGAGTTTGCTGATCATTTTCATAAGGAACAAGCGCTCTCGGTGTTCTTTCCGGGGGATGTAGTTGAGTTTGAGTCGTCGTGAGCCCGACCTGCTCGGCGACTATCGGTTCAGTGTAAAGAGGTTGTACTGTTTCAGGCCGTTCCCAAGGTGTTGCATTGCTGTTGTTTATTTTGCTCCTATGGTACCTCATCGCCTGCGAACGGACGCTTCGTCTTATCTCCTCATCCTTGAATTGAGTAGGGTCTGTCGCGGTAAGAAAGCGAAGTTGAAAAGGTCCATCGAGCTTTCCACGGCGACGGGCCGCTCTCGTTGTCGCGCGAAGGGTATTTGGCCAAGCATTGTTTCCAGACTGGTGGTTTGTGACCGCCAGTGAAGCGACATTAAGCTGGGAGGTCGTGATGTCACTCTCGCTGGGCGGGGTTGTGATGGAAGCCATGGATATTGGAGTGGTGTGGTGACCCAGAATGCCAAGAGAAAGCGGGGTCTGGCTCAGCGCAGGGAGCAGCGACGATGCCACGCAGCATAAATCACATACGATGCCTCTATACCTGTGTATCTGCCTATTTGTCGCCGAAGAAGAAACCGCGCTTTTATGTGAGGCTGGGGCATGGGCTTGTACCAGCCCAGGCTGACCTGTCGGTGAGCCGTCCCATGCAGGACACTACATGCGTTCACGGGTAATACGTCACCTCTTCGCTCCCGAGGTCGCATCGGGACCACGCCGCGATATGATAGAGCATGAGGTGCACAGCCCCACACTGGACAAGACATTGGTGGCCTGACGACACTAGAGGGCCGGCCAATTCAATGGATTAAGAGAGAAGCTTGCAGGATCACCAACATCCTTTTAATACGCGCATTGGGACGTCAATAACTTAGCCAAGATCTTCCGCACAGCCTTGCCATAGTCAATGAGCAACTGCCACAAAATGACCCCATCGCTCTGAACAGTAATTCGATCCTGGTCTGCTACCAATAGAGGCGAATCCTCCGCTATCGACTCAGCCGGATCCCAACGCCGTGCGACGACACCAGCTGGCCGGATCGTCTCGTTGCTATCAAACGACTCAACCATCCTGCGTTCATCAACGAATATATAATCGCAAGGCAGAATGGCTCCTAGATCTTCGTCAGGTTCTCAACTTTCTTCCCTCGGGATGTTTACGACGCACCCTCTCTCCTCAACTTCGCTCGAGCCTCATGCCACCGGTCCTCATCGATCAAGCTCGGCGCATCGTACAAGCTTGGCGACAGCGAATTGGCGCTGAACGGTGCAGGTATGAACCGGCGCACGTGCTCCAGAGCTTGCGATGCGGTCTCGCCTTTGTAGAACATGCGTCGCTTAACTTGCGGCGCGACGAAGCGACCATCTGGCAAGTCGTACAGCAGGCGATACTGCTCTTCGACATCAAGACTGTCGAGGTCGTCGATATAATAGCCCGCGACGTAGCCGTGGGTAGTCATGTCGCTTCGGCTCATGGCGTGAGCGGTATTCGTGTGGAATTTGAGAACTCACCCAGAAAGTCGAAGAAAGAGCCGTGGCTCATTAGCAACTCTCGATTGCATACAGTGAAGTAGGCATGTCGTCGAAGCATCTCTGTTAGTACTTTGACGGCGTCAAACGACACCCTGGCAAACCGCGCGCTGCGACGAACGGAAGACGAACGAGAGAAAGAAATAAGGACATGGTCTAAGTGCATACGCAAATCTACGCGACTATTACCACCTCATATACGAAGAAAACTGAACAGGTCTACAGACTACATTAAGACAAAAACCTACAAAGTAGGTAACCTAATGTCAACGTAGGCTCTAGAGTATTTAGTTTTCTATTAGGTTAACATGTTACCATACTGTTATACCCCATGCCGTCACCCTCACACCTCCACCACGCTACCAACCACCTTCGCCCGCATCCTCCCGACTCTCCTCCCACACCTCACTAACCGCAGACTTATCTGGATGTGACTGAATCCTCGGCATTCCAACCGATTCCGTCTCAATATAATAACCCCCTTCCTCCTTAAACTCAAGGAGGTATCTCCCATTAACAGGCCCAAATTCCTGGATTGACCGAATTTTGTTGAAAAGTGGCTTGGGTCTTCGATGTGGGAATTCGCCTAGCGGGAGGCATGTCTGATCAGAGACATGCGACAGCCATTTTTCGATTCGGGGTCTCGTGGCCATTGTTTTGTATGCGACGAGCATGCGGAAGCTGTTTGCTTGTTCGAAGATTTGTGTTGAGGTAGTTTGCTGGCTATCGGAGGCTGTTTCGGAGCTGGTTTCTGACTGCATCTTGGGGTTTGATGCGTACAGAGAGTTTGCGCGGCGTGAGGGGTGAGGTGTTCAGATGTATGCAGCCGCTACGGATAGTTTGTAGTAGTGTATGTGATGATATGTGCGGCTTTTGTATGCTTTTGGAGGTGTTGAACGTGTTCGGTTTAAATTTGGTGAAGTTTTTGTAGTTAGGGAGGATTTTGGTGTCTGAGGGCACAGTGGGCAGAAAGGACCATATTTATGAAATTCCCGTCTCTCATTCTTTGGTTACCACGCGACCCACCCATACGCAACGAGCCACTCACAACTTTCCTAAAGCTTTAAATGCGAGCTGAATTTCCTTCCTATAGAAGTCTTCCGCAACATAATATCTCTCCCCTCTCAAAATTTCTTTCACTCGCTTAGGCTTTGCCCGTAACTCCACACGCCTTTCTACTGCCTCGTATTTCTCATCTTTGTCTCTGCCTGCGCCAGAGCTATCTGCAACGATGGCTATGACTCTGATCAATGCAGGCATGTCCGGTATTGTGATCTCTTCCGCCTCAATGCCAATCTGGGTATTTCGCAGGATATCCGCACCAGTATACTCGATCACGCCAGGCGCGGATGTGAAATAGCTGCCTATGCAGCTGCCGAAGTAGGATATAGCCTTGTTCAAGAGGATAGAGAGTCGGCGCGGACGTAGTAGGGGTGACTCCGCATGCGTCGGCGAGGGAGAGCTGTTCGCTGCTTCCCGTATCGGCGCTGAGTCTGGATGGAAATCAGGTGGGTAGGAAAGGCCGGCGAGGGGATTGGGGCTAGGTGATGGTTGTGTAGCCCACGGTGCGCGTTCGTGCCAAGTACCTTCGTCCATATCTGCGCCTGCATCTCCACTAGTCTCGTACTTCTCCATGCTGTTTGGAGGTGTGTGATCGTTGGCTTTAGTTTCCATGGCATGAAGTGGTGATGCGGCCATGGCATCGGAATACGGATTGGTGGCGTCTCGGTCCGTCATCAAGTCAACCAAGTGTTTTGTGCGATCCATGGATGATTGTGCGGGAAGCGCGCTCGCTCTTGAATGGACTCCGGGGTCCACGGCTGGGTGCCGTTTTGGCGGTGACTGGTCTGCTTCATCCATGGTTGAGATGGCTGGATGCCGATGAAACGGGGCTCATGCGTTTGGAAAAAAGCTACACGAAGCCGCGCTAGGGCGTTGTAGGACTGTGCTGTGCAGTTGCAAGTGTAGTGAATGAGACTCGATGGAAGTCAGACTCGAACCTCTAGGAGTGAAGAGCGCGCATGAAGAAAGTGGGGACCCAAAATGAAGTTAACATATGAACGATGAGTGGTGAATGCCTCATAGCTAGAGACACACTGAGAGTGTATGCACCCAAATCCGCCATCCGCATGTCGTGGCAGATGCGTCACAACACCTATTCCCGGGTCAACATACATACAATTACTAAATTGCTGGCAGACAGTGACATGTACACTATATTTGCCCGCTCATTCATACCCAGGTAGCGGTCGATACATAAGTCTCGAAATTCCTCCCTGCTAAATCTTTCAATCGCTACAATTACACCTCACGACGCCAATATGTCAGACTCACCAACAACTCTAGATGCGCTCAAGAAAGTACCCCTTGATAATCCTCGATTACAGATCCCTCGTCCCGCGTTTCAACGCGAGACTACCTCTACTCCCTCAGAATGGCAAGCTTACACACCGAAGACTTCGCATGGGTTCATAGCCATGCATACCTCCACACCCGAGGACATGCATGAGAATAGGAATGCTGGAAAGCCTACAGCAGTCAAGGATTACTTCTCAGTACCAAAACAGAAGCATAATCCTATCCTTTCTCCTAACCCTGCGCCATATGAGCCGCATGGCTTCTTGCCACTTTGTTCGGTTGCGGCCGTTGAAGTCGACGCGACCGATTACTTTGGGCTCTCAGAAAGGACTATTAAAAGTGACACCGGAGGTGCAAGCTGCGCTGCTCCGGATATGGCCAAGGATGCCGATTGTGACGGTGCTCCGCAGCCCGATGGTCATGTGCACACGAGCCGGCGCTCGCTGGCCGAGGTTGCGCGTCCACCAGCAGAGTATAGCGAGCGCGATGTCGCGCCTAAGCCAGAAGAAGAACAAGGTACCCAAAAGGAAACTGAGGTCGAATTGCGCTGTGGCAGTGGCGAAGAGCTCAGCGACGAAGACAAAGAGACGGTCGATCGTTCACCTGCAGGCGACATGCCCGACCCGAGACACCATCGACTAACAGTCGAAGCTAATCCACCGCTCGCTTCATCGCCCATCGACAAAGCCCAAAAAGATCATACCGAAGAACGGAACCCTATTTCGGCGCTCAATAGAGCGCTCGACAGGATGTTACGAGAAGTCGCAACCGTTTGTAACATGGCATTAGACATGCACGTGGCTAGTAACGCTCCTCCCAGCACAGAACCCACGCTCGACAACACAGCGGACCGTGACGACGCCGAAACGACACCACAGTCGCCAACAGATGGATCTGAGGCTTCTGAGAGCGCTCATGCGGCATGACTACATGATAGCCGGCAACACGACGAGATGAATTCAGTATCCACAGAGATGAGCGCTGCGAACATGGACGAGACCGCTCTTTCAGAAACAGAGAAACCATCTCCAGTGATCCGACGGAAACTCAAAAAGACCTGGAAGAGGCTGGCGCCGCTCGAAGGGCACACTGGAAGACTCTTTGACACGATGCAACGTACAGACAACAGAACACTCATCGCATTGAAGTCCGGCTTCACAGTCGACATCGTGAATGCCGACACCAAGAAAACATTCGTCCGCAACGTTCCGCTTCGCATGTTATGGCATTTCTGTGGCGTCTCCGTTCTCGATCGCTTTATACCAGACAGGGACGGGTGCCCGGATCTGTTGAAGATACCCGTGAAAGAAGCTGAGAAATCTGGAGTCGCAAGAGTCATGCGATATATGCGTCGCGCGTGTAAAGCAGCTAGCGTGCGGCCCACAGGTGAGCTGCGCATACCACCCAGTCTGGCCGCCGGTATCGAGACGATTCGAGCCTGCCGTGTGTTCGGGCTGCACGCAGACGCCGATCGGATCGAAGATGTAATTATAGGCGAGTGGATAGGCAACGAAGCTTGGTACATGACCGACGAGCATGTTGAGCTGATATGGGATGGCTACCATGGTAGTCTTCGCGACACCGTTTTCGGGGATGTAATAGTCTGGTTTATATTGACAGAAGTGCAAGATAAGTCGCATCCTCTCGCGGAGGAGATAAGGTGGATGCTTGACCAAGACGATTACGAGACCTTGAAGGCAAGGGTTACGGAGGAGGTGCAAAGGAAGATGTGGAGACTGGAGGATCATGATCAGTTCATGGCACGATGCCAGTGGGAGCGGGCGGAACAGGTGCGGAAGGAGGAAGAACGTGCTGATCGGTTATTGCGAGGTCATCATCAAGGTCCGCTTTCGATGTCTAACAAAGAGCAGGCGGGTTTTCATCATGGAACCAGCGCGAAAGCTCTTGGTATCGAGATGATGCAAGCGGGATTGTGGGATGGCACAGGCGTAGGGGTCCTTCAAGATGTTCCAGTCCAATCTCCTGAGCCTCCGAGAGCTGGAGCTGATACGCCGCTTCCGAAGTCGCTTGGTAGACGTTGATGCAGAGTTTTGGTATAATGGGCAAACCACATGTTTAGGACTCGCCAGTAGTTTTGTGTTTTGAATTGCATCGGTGTTAGTCTCTTAGCTGGTTCCAATATGTTTTGCAACATTTGTGATATTAGCGTTTGAGATACGCGCGGCAGTGAGAACGCGCGATGAGAATGACGGCCTCTAAATTGTGTGACGCAATTTGAGATGAGAAAGAAACGAAGCGGGAAGAGATTCGCCATTGTCTCGACTTGGCTCTTACATCATCGACTAACCGCATTAGGTGTAGCATCGCGCATGTCCAGATGTCCTCAGCCCTGGAGCTTAGCATCAAGCACCGGGAACATGCTCTCTGATAATGCTCTCATCCTTCAAAGCCAAAAATGTCTGAAAATGGACCCAGTGATCAGTACGTACGGAATCGAAAACCACGTCTCCAGGATCAAGGTCCGCCCGTGCCACCGAAGACTCTCAGTACCGGAAACACCATCCGAACCATCAAACGCGTCGCAGCACCAAAACCCCTCAACTTACACAGTCACTCCAAACCACTCCCATCAGTGCCTCAATTACGAGCAGCTACTCCAGTAACGAAAGAACAACAAACAAAACCGCTCCCGGCACCACCAACAAGCGCCACATTGCGATTGACCTTGCTCTGGGTCGCAGCCTTCTGTATATGGTTTCTCCTAATCGTGGTATTACTACCCGTAATCACAGAGAAAGACGCAATGCCCGGTTTCAACAAATGGCTTCGTACGTTACTATGACTGAAGCTGCCTCCAAGTCCCCCCCAAGAGGGTCTACAACTTCGACTCCGCCTTCGTAGCGTCTACCAAACTCTTCCTCCCACCAAAGCCAAACAAATACGCAGCAACCTTCCGCATCTGGATCTCTTCACTCCCCTCAGTAATCCTGTACCGGCGATGGTGTCTCCAGATATGCTCAAACGGATAATGCCTCGAGTACCCATTCCCGCCATGGACCTGGATCGCGCGGTCCGCGGCCTGCGTACACAGCCTATTCGCGTAGTAATTACACATGGACACCTTATCGCCAATCTTCTTCTCAATCTCACCGTGCGGCATAGAATCCATCTCCAGCGCCGTCTTCCGGATCAGCTGTCGCAGCATCTCGCACTGCGTGGCGAGTTCGACGAGCGGGAACTGGATGCCTTGGTTGTGCGAGAGAGGGGTTCCGAAGGGCGCGCGTTGGTTCGCGTATTCGACGGATTGTTGGACGCAGTATACGGCGGCGCCGAGCGAGGATGCGGCTTGGCGGATGCGGTTCTCGTGGACGAAGGCTTGGGCGACGCCGAGGCCGTTGTGGATGGGGCCTAGTAAGGCGGTCTCGGGGACCCAGACGTCTTTGATGGAGACGGTGGCGTGGTCGGTGGGCATGTTCAGTGTCCTGGGCGTTGTTAGCATGTAAGCTCCAGCGCTGTGGAGCAGACGACGTACCACTCATACGACTCTGCCTTGAGGCCTGGTGTCTCTACCGGTACGACGAAGCACGAGATGCCCTTGATCTCCCCGTCCTTTCCAGACGTCCTCGCAAACACCGAGCAGTGTGTAGCGTGGTGCATACCAGTCTGCCACCGCTTGTATCCATTCAACACCCATCCCTTCACACCATCTCTCGTCTCCGGCCGCCCCTTTGTCGCCATGTGTGTCGCATCCGAGCCATGACCGGGCTCCGTCAAGCCGAACGTCATCCTGAACTTGCCCTGCAGCCGCAGCGGTATGAACTCCTTCTTCTGCTGATCATTGCCAAAGTTCATGAGCATGATGACGTCGGGGAAGTTGCCTACCATCGAATGCTCTGTCTGCAAGTCGTTAAACAGGCCCAGCCCCTTCGCGGCGAGATGCTCTCGGATGACGGCCATCCAGAGGTTGCTCCCTCGTCCATCGGCACTGTTCTGACCGCCGTATTGCTTTGGCAGCGACAGTCTGTAGAAGCCGGCTTCATCCGCCAGTCGCCTGGACTCTGCCAATAGCTCCTCCCATTCCTTGCGCGGCAGGCCGCCATTGTCCCAATCCGTTCGAGCGTGCTCGCGGCGGTGGTCGAAGAAGCGGTTGTTGTCGTCTTTGTGTTGGAGCGGGGTGATCTTCTCATCGATGAACTTGTCGAGATCGGCGAGGTATTGCTTCAGATCATTGGGGATCGAGAAGTTCATCGTGTGCGACAGCGACATCGTGGGGGTCTCTTGATGGGTGCGGTGCGTGGAAGACAATAGGGCTGGTGTCAGCGATCTGGGTATTTCTCAATTGCGAACGTCAAGCTAGAAGCTCGCGGTATAAGGGCAAGCTTCGGGACGCGCATCTTGATGACTCGCTTGCTCTCAGTCGTGGAGTTGCTGTTCGAGGAGCGCTGCTTTGCGGGGAAAGAAGCACAGGCCAAGCGGAGTTGACCTCGGCCTTAGCGGGCGCGCCTCCAGCCTTCCCTCAACATGCGAGTAACGCGCGCAGGACATCTCTACCAATGAACACTTTGTTCAGTCGCCATGGTCGCGCTGTCAGCATGGCAGACCTGCAAAGCTGGACTGTCGACAGTTCACATAATCTGACACGCCATATCTAAGTCCCGGAGGCGAAGAAACTGGTTCATACTGAGCTGCATTTAGTAGCTATACTACCCGCATACAGTATCTTTTGGTTGTATGTAGCGCACACTGAACTGCATAAAATATCTTCTTGGTACGTTATGCTGCTACATATTCATCATGGTTCAGACCGATATTCTCCACTTATCGCACTATCGCTACCAACGTATGGGCTTCGGCAGCGGTCTACAAGTACAGAATGTGCCTCTCGATACTAACATGTCTCTTTCTCTTTTATCTTGCATCGCCACTCACCCTGTCATGGACTCTCAAACTCCCAGTGAGAACGTTGCAGTGGGCACGGATGTGATTCTTCAAGCATCTGCTAATTCGGCTACTACGTATCCTATCGACCCCTACGACGATGAAGAAACCGACACACAGGAGAAATCTACCCCTCTCCACCATGCTAGGGCCATCAAAATGAGAACGAGCATAGTTTTACGAGAGTGCAAAATATACATAAACGGCTTCCCAGGAAAGGATAGTAAGGGGCCTAACAACGCATTCCACATGCGTATCATTGGATTTATTCTCGGCGAAGTTCTGCCAACGGAGGAAAACATCGACCGCATTTACCACATGGTCATGTATCGCAACAACTTAGCAAGGCTAGCGATGCATCTCCTGGACATTGCCAATATTCATCGGCCTAAGGGAAAAGACATTTTCGACTTTGATCCAGACTTCTTCGAGCACCGGATGATGCCAGTGACCCGGTCTAGATGGCTCACTGCATGGCAGCACTTCATTACCGGATTGCTGCCCCTTCCTGTCCACGATAGAGAAGAATCACAGGGCCCTTCGTGGCGAAAGCCACGTCGGTACATCGCTGCAGCTATAGCCCTTGATTCCTCTATCAAACATGATGCAGATATTGAAAGTGCTGTGGAGCGTATGAGGAATTGTACGTATCTGTGGCTATCCCACTCGCGAAGTTATACTGACGACAGCACATAGGGTACGAGGACTATCTCAGGGACGCCAAGCCACACTTAAATCTAGATGGGGGGCAAGGCTGAGTGGAAAAGTTCAGCATCAGAGCCTGCGCAAATGGACCTTATATCCTTACTCCGAGAAAGGCGCTATGAGGGCGACGCAAACTTGGAATAGCCAGCACTTGGGACTGCCGAGGAACACCTACGGAGACACTTTGCGCATCGCTTGGGCAACAAAAAGGCTTCCTCTGAATGTACGCACGCACTTCGGTAACTACATTCCAACAACATACAAGACATCGTATAAAACTAGGCTCATATTTCAACTCAACGAAATAATTAACATAGTTGTCTCATAGACCCCTACGACCCCACGCGTCAACACTCAAACCTTCCGAAAACCCTTGTACCACCGCCTCTTCACGCCATTCTGCTCCGACGCCAGCTCATCCTCCGCCCGAATCTGTTCGTAATCATCCGAAGAAACCGTCGCAAAAGACTCCGCTGATGAGTTCTCCTGCGACGTTCCCACGCCCGCGCTACCCTCACCAGTCCCTTCATCCGTCGCATTGAGTACCGTTAGAAGCTCCGCTTCCGCCTCAACTTGGGTCCGTCCACCTAGTTCCTCCGGCTTTAGCTTCAATCCAGCCGTATCCTCCAACCTCCCTTTTCCCCTTCCAATTCTCCCCACGTCCAAACCCACCGGCACAGCGCTCATCCGCTCAAAAGCCTTCTTCTTCGGCGACGACGACGGAAGCGGCAGATCTTGGAACGGCCTCAACCCCGCTATCGCCTTTGTTAACTGCTCGATCTCATCTTCCTGAACACGATTCTCACTGCTATACACACTACTACCCGCACCATCCTCCACCTCCTCCTTCTTCATCTGCACAGCCGGATCGTCCATCATACAAACCTCCTCCCGCTCATCCAGTCCCGCTACCTCCATACCCGGAATAAACTCGGACGCATGACGCTTCTCTTCCCGGGAGGTTACTCTGGGGATACGCTGGCTTTTCGAGTCGCTTATCCGCTTGACCAACTCGCGGGGAATATGTTGTTCGCCGTCGTCAACAACCTTGTCTTCTAGCACATCGCCCTCGAGTTTCGCGAGCGCTTTCGCTTGTTCTTCTGCGCGGAGGGCGAGGACGCGGTCGAGCGTGGGTGTGCGGTCGACACTTCGGCGCTTGCTTGATTTGGTGAGCGGAGACGGTGCTTCGTTGATCGCGGAAAGAGGGGTCGTGTATTGGATTGGGATTTCTGCGCTCTTCCTAAACGAAGCTGTTCTAGACTTCGCCAGCTTCGGCGATATTGCCGGGTTCTCGAAGTTGAATCTAGGCAGAATTGGCGGAAGAGGCGCGCTCTTCCTCTTTACTGCCGTCTTTGGCTCATGTTCAGGTAGCGATTGTAATGGCTGATCTGCCTTGATCTTTCCACGCTTCTCTGTTGCTAGCTTGATCGCATCGGTGGTGTCCTGGCGCATCTTCTGATTCACATCTTTCGTTCCGAGGAAGTTGTATTTATCTGGACTCCTCAGGTCGGTGTGGTTCCGCGGGTCTGCGGCGTCGAAGTAGGGGGTGAAATCCCTTCTATTGCCCTTGTTGTCTTTGCCAGCGGTCCTAGATGTGTTCTTCGGTGGCGTAGATGCTGAAGGCGTTACTTGACCTTGTGCATACGGTCCACCGCCAACAATCTCGGCATACGGATTATGCCACTGATGTTGACCATAAGTTTGAAGACCCGCAACTTGATCCTGCTGTTGCTGTTGCTGGCCCTGCGTAGCTCCAGTCTCAACATCAAAGCCCTTCGCGTATGCTGCATCTAGATTTCGCGGTGTTGCATTGGAGATGTTGTGGATTGCGCCACTTGCGTCGTCCCAGTATGGCATTGTCTGCGTATCATATTGGAAAGGATCACTATTCCGCTGCGAATTCCGAGTCGAACCAATATGCTGACTTTGCGGTTGCGGGGCGGGGTTTGGATCACTTGATACTTGGACGTGGCCTCGTCGGTGTGGATATCGGTTTCTGGGTCCGCGAGGCGGGTTCCAGTTTGGGTCTGGCTGTGTCATTTTTAGAGGTTGGAAGGATGTCTAGGGTGCGTGGGTTGAGGGGGAGCCAAATGCAGTGGTTTCACAGTGTAAGGGTAATTGGTGTTTTGACTTGCTTGCAGGAGGTGGTTCGTTAGAGTGTGGAGTACGAAAGAGAAATGAGGTTCCCCGGCGGCGAGGTAGACGGATGTGCACGCCGTATGTGAGTATTGTGTGAGTGAATGAACGGTGTTGTTGTGCGCTGTGTTCGCCGCCTGTTGCTCTGGTGATTTTGGTCACTGATGAAAGATGGTGTTCGAGAATGTGCGCAGGTCTTGAAGCTAATAGAAGTCACGTCATAAGATTGGAAGTCAGCGCCGTAGAAGGCCATCAGTTGTAGCACCTAGCGACTCTTCCAGTAATCACTTCAGCAATCATCCTGTCATACCGATCAATCACATTGACAACAGAGTCTTTCCATCAACCCACAATTACTCAGAACAGCTTCTCTTCATGCTGCTAGTGTCAACGTGGCACCTTGCCATTGAAGGCCGTCGGAATGTCTCGGTCGACCTCTTCAAAGTCTTCAGTCAATTCGTCCTCATTCTGTACCATCTCAAAGCTCTCACCTAAACCTCGTTCTTCATCATGCCAGGTCTTCGGCCTTGTGCGTGACGCGTCCGGCAATTTCGACCCCTCTGTGGTCCCGTTCTGCGTCTCGTTGGCGTTCATAGCTTGTTCATCACACTGTGAGTAAGTAAATACCTGGCCAAATTTATCGATACCTTGAAGGGGCTTATGTGGCCTACGGACCTGGCCAACGTCGTTGCTCCTTGACGTCAGCGCAGCATCGAGGCCGAAGGTGATGTCTTCCATGTCTCCGATCTTAGATTGGCGTCTTCCTGATGCATCGCTTATGGGTGTGTCGTGTGTACCAAACCGAACTCCAGATTTCCTTGATCGGCGTGCTACATCTTCAGCAGTGGGCTGGGGATTTACTGGCACATTTGGCCGCAGCTCTTGTGTGCCGTAGTATATCCTCGAGCGCAGACTATGCCGATCTATTGGTGCTTGCGCTACATCGGGCGCTAGAGCGCTTGGTTGATGTACGGACGTCTCTAGTTCGGAAATGGATGGGAACATGGAGAGGCGAATGAGGTACCTGTGGCGGGCGCGAGCCGTAGCAGAAAGCGAGTCGTGCCCACTGGGAGGTGAGTGATTTTGTGACATGTTGACGAGTGAGTAAAGTTACTGTATTGCTGAGCAAGATGGAATGCGCGAAATCTTTGGCTGAAGATGTAAGCTCTCAAATAGATGAGGCGCGGTGTTGCTGGCGGTCCTCCTCCAGCGATGTTCTGGCAAAGCTACGACACAGCCAACTCAGACAACGCGCTTGCGTAGCCATTCCATCGACATCGTCGTGCGTGACAATCGCCATCGATAGCGTGGCTTTTCCAGTGAATCTGTATTGACGCAAGTACCACCGGCGTTGAATCTTTGCCATGATAACGCCATGCGCTGCTGTGATGTCACGGGTTGTGAATGTTTTCTCCAACGTAGCGCGCGTGTGGAGGACAAGTGTGTGCCACTCTGCGCAATGGCGACGCAATCATGCAGTATACCTCGGTGATTCTCGAGCAAAGGCAAGGGGCGAATATGATTACTATACAGGAAGAAAGCTCATCCTTCAGTCACCTCAAATGCGTGGAGGGGTGGAGACGTGTAAATTGCAGGAGGGGGTGTTGTGGCGCGCGCCACACCCAGGCAACCTGAGCGGGTCAACTTCGTCCGCGCCATAATCATACTTGTTCGCTACACTGCGCGAACGTCAGTAAGCTAATCCGAACACGACCGCGAAGTTTACTTTACACATTTTGCTTATGCGTGTTTACCGGTTGCGTGGGAATGGACAGCCCTGGAGCTGGCCCGCGAGAGTCACGTGGTACGCTAGCTACGCGAGACCCTATCTGATGTTTCATCCTTCCCACATCTCCGCTGTTTCCACCAACGACTCATCGTTCGCGACCCAACGCATCCTTCCGCAACGTCCTGCGAACGCTTGATCTGGCACTGGGAAGCGCGCTGATGGAAACAATGTCCGGCTTGGCGCACGCGTGGCAAGACGATTGAAACAAAGCCGCTGCCAGACGGGCACTAGCATCGTGACGCCCTTGACATTGGTTCATGCCATTACGCATTTGGCAACATGGCCGTTACGGGAAGGATCGTAACCAATATGAATACGAAGCAGGTGTATGCGGTTACAGAGTGGTAGGTATATTAGGATTTGGGCTGCTCGTGATGTGAACCGTTGTCATCCATTACACTCATTCTCTCAACTGCCTTTCGGATATCCTCTCATTTTCTCTCGTTGAATATCTTGAGCGGAATCTTCGGCTGGTCTGAGTGACGTTCTTTACCTTCTCGCCCATACTACATTTGCCTCTTCCAAACCCCTTTAACAAGACTACAACATGCGTTTCGAGATTATCGCACTCCTGGCAGCAGCTGCCACCTCGTCCGCTCAATCGGTCATCGGTACAGCTTATGGCTATGGTGCTGGCGCGACTGGTGGAGGAAAGGCTGCTGCTGTCACCCCAACGTCAAACGAGGAGCTGGAGAAGTACCTGTCTGACGACACCGAGCGCGTCATTCTTCTCACTCAGCAGTTTGACTTCACTGGCAAGACCACTTCTGGTCCTGGTTGCGACAAGACCACTTGCTCAGCTAAGAGCGGCGGCGGACAGTACTACTTGGGCGACCTCTCCTGCGGTGGCTCGGATATGACGCCCGTCAGCTCCATCACCTACGACGCAGGCGCCGAAACAGCCTTGAAGGTCGGATCGAACAAGTCCATTCTTGGTGTTGGCGGAAAGGGTGTGATCAAGGGCAGAGGTCTCTCCATCGCCAAGGATGCCAGCAATGTCATCATCCAGGGCGTTGAATTCACCACCATCAACCCCGGCGTCGTATGGGGTGGCGATGCTCTCGACATGCAGGGAGGAAACACCAAGATCTGGGTAGACCACTGCAAGTTCTCCCTCGTCGGTCGCATGTTCGTCGTCAGCCACTACGACGGCTCCGAGGCTACCCTTTCCAACAACGAATTCGATGGTGTCACTACCACTTCTGCTACCTGCAACGACAACCACTACTGGACGATGATGATGATTGGAAAGACTGAGAAGTTTACACTTGACAAGAACTACTTCCACGACGTTTCCGGCCGCGCTCCCAAGCTTGGTCAGGACGGTGTCAACAGCTACTTCCACGCCGTCAACAACTACTTCGAGAACATGAAGGGCCATGCCTTTGATGCTTATGACGGCGTCAGTGCGCTTGTTGAGGGTAACGCTTTTGTTGCCGTTGACCAGCCCAACACCGAGCACGCTGCCGGTGTTACCAGTTTTGTTAGCAAGGGTGGCGATGCCTGCTCATCCGTCTTCGGCCGCGCGTGTCTTGAGAACAGCGTCGACTCTTCCAGCGGCGAGCTCTCCCCAGGCTCATCCTCCGGCTTCATTGCGAAGCTCGGAAAGATTGACGTTCCCGAGCCCATGGAAGCCAGCAAGGTCGCCGCCTACGTCAAGGCCAATGCTGGTCCCGCAAACCTCGGTGCTCCGTCTTCATCTGCCCCTGCCGCCGAAAAGGTGGTGGACTCTGATGCCGCTACCAGCGTCTCCAAGTCCATCGTTTCCAAGCCTACATCAGCTAGCAGCGTTACCAAGCCCAAGCCGGCCGCTACCACCACCGCGGCTGCTGCGCCAGCACCTGCTGCTCCCACCGGATCTGGATCCTCTGCTGGCGCTGCCAAGCTCTACGCTCAGTGCGGTGGTCAGGGTTTCACTGGCCCTACTGAGTGCGAGGCTCCTGCTACATGTGTGAAGAGCAATGACTGGTACTCTCAGTGCATCAACAGCTCTTCCAAGTTCCGTCGCGCGCTTGGACGCTACTTTTAAGCGTTGAGTGCATCGAAGACGCAGAGGACGATTAAGCAATAATACTACGGATGGGAGACGATGTCAGGGTCTGATAGAGACGATTCTTGTGTAAATACTTCTATTTCAATTCATTCGGCGTACACGCCGTGTATATTCCAGTTCGATACAGTGCCGTTAATTTAGTATATTCTCGTCGCTGTGCCTTCCTAAGCTTTGCGTAGTTCGTCGGCGATAGTCATCCAATGCGACGAACCACAAGTCATCTCTGCCTTTCAAACGCCACGCTATGCAAGGTGTACAAAGGAAAACCCAGTCCAGAACAGACCAACACGTCTCCAATCATGCTCCGCTACTCAGTACGTAAGCTAATAACCCCGTCGCTCATGGCTTCGGCATCGCAAGAGCTCAGCGGTTCTTAACACCGCATTGTCGTGCATGTGACTGCTATCGTCCTGCGACAGCCCTTCTGTCTGCCATTAGGGCTTCTTGAAATTTTCATCCGGCTCGGCGCTGCTTTGTGCGTCGCTGCTCGCTGCTTTCGTATCTTCCGCCATGATTCGCAAGACTGCGAACTTGCGAACCATGCTTTCTGGACTAGCCGATAGCTGTGGCTCCACAGCCGGTTCTGCTGTTGGCTGGTGTTCCTGTAAGCGCCTTGCAGCTGGCTTAAAGGACTTCTTCTTCGACTGCTTTCCACATCCCTCCCGGCTATGGTCGTTCTTATCGCCTATCCGTTTCATCCAATTCGTGTTAAAGACTGGGCGGTGTTGTTCATTCACGTCCGGATCGCGTACGCGCGCTTCAAGATTCGGATACCCCTTCAACATAGCCAGCATATCTTCATCAATTCCTGGTACCTCCCGACCTTCGCTGTCGGCCTCAAACTCGCGGAGCCGTTGCCCAACAGCCTTGATCGCTGCGTAGGTGTACCGGCTGTTCTTGCCGAGGCAGTTCCATAGCGTCTCCAACTCTACAGCAAAGATTGGTGGAGCAAGATGGCACTCGGCGATGTAATGATCTACCCTTGAAGCATCTTTGTGGAGATCGAAGAGCTCCATCGTGCGAGCCAACGAGCAAGCGACAAACGTGTTCTTTGGAACGCGGATCTGCTTCATCGAGCTCATCGTCTGGTAGTTGCAAGCTCGCAGCATCCAAGCTATGAGGGCTTTCATAGCGGCCTTGCTAGCTACTCCCCGAGGTAGATCCATCTCTTGACATACCGGTGCGCCCTTCCAGTTCACGTCGTCCTCGCGGTGTGTTGTGCGGATGAACTTGTTGACCACCTTACGACCCAGGAACAGCACAAGCATCTTCTTTGGCACCTGGTAAGCGAGCGTGACTCCGGTATCCTGTTCTACAATGTCCAATACCGGCCCATTGAGCGCGTTCATCTTCCGCTCAGGCTGGAGATAAGGCAGCAGACTTTGCAGGGTGTGAAGGTGGCGTATGTCCTCAGGATTCGGATACGGGCACTCCATACCTGAATACGCCGCCCAGCCTACCCACCCAAGTGTACTGAAAGCCTCGACGGGAGAGGTGTTATATTCTGATAGTTCATCTCCATCGCTGGGCCGGTAGCTTTGGTTGGCCATCTGCCCATCTATACTGCCGTTGAAAGGTTTTACTAGCGGGTAGAGAGTAGAACTGCAACTCTGCTGTGCTTCTGAGGTGCCATGTGCGGGGTAGCCTTTGTCACGACGTGCAAGATAGGCTCCAACGACGTCTCCATTCCGCTCATACGCTTCCGCATCTGGGTGACCAGGCGTAAAGATCGCAGCCTTGGGATGCAACTTCGATGCCGTGACGGTACCGTCAGAGTCATAATGATAGTACGTCGTCATTTTGGGTGATGCTGCTCCCTTCTGGTTTCGCGATGTGGGTGATGGCTGACTGTCGAAACAGAGGGTTGAGGTAACGGAGTCGAAAGAACTTCTGCGGCTTGAAGCAAATTCAAATACGGAGTTTGCCACCGAACCAGTCGAACTGTCTTGATTGTGAGTGTGCTGGATGCGAGAGGCGGGTTGTGCGCCCGCTATGTAGTCTATAGCGAGAGAATACATAGCAGCGTGAAGCGACAGGGCTACTGTGAATTATTAATGATTATTGACAATGCGACGGCGTTGTTGCGAGACAGTGTTGTTGATGGAGAGAGGTGGAGTGAAAGGGTGAAGGATAGTCGCTGTTGAAGGTCGCTTGCGCCAAGCCCGCGCCCATACCTGATTCGGCTACACTTACCGGAACTTAGGTGAAACACCGCGCCAAGACACTATCACGTGTGGTATCCCGAGCTTACTTAGACAGACGGATGGACATACACTTAACGCTCATGCATACTATGGAGCATCTGCGACTCAAAAATAGTGAAGGACATGACGTCAACGCAGCGAGAAAATGTCTCATTCAGTCGACATGCATCCAACATCAAACAACGACCCTTCGAACGCCTGTGGCTACAACATGGGTCCTCCAGAACCTCACAGCAGCGCGTTACTAGATGTCACAAGTATCCTTTCGGAGAATGCATATCCAGGAGGTAGTTTTTTCTTATCACTAGACCCTACCATCATGAGAAGCACATTACACGCCTCCATACGTCTCGTTTCCGATCCTTCTTCTCCAGTGTGACATTATTGCTCATGAGCGTCACATACTTGCCGGCCAAGTAACCTTCGTTGCAATCCCCAAGCCCATATTGCTGGCCTATCGAGGAAAACAACCCGCTCTTCTGCCAGTCCGCCCGTCCGCGACGCCGCGCGGCGAGTAATGATCGGCGAGCTGGTCCTCCAAGCCACTGACCAGATGATTCGCGAGAGAAGGCCTCACCAGGCCCCCTCTTACCTCCAGCTAGAGCAGAGAGTGCGGCGAATTGATGTTTATCGGGATCCGGTGCGAATGAATTATGCTCATCTAAGCGCAGCGCTGGTGGGGTGTTAGGAAGTGACTTCGCTCGTGGCCTAGGCGTGATTGGTGCAGAACGGATGCAGGTAGCTTCTGGGCTACGCATATTTCCTTGCAGAATGCATTCTTCCGGGCCAGTGTCGCGACCTAATCCTCCTATTGTCCCTCCAGAATTAGACGACGCTAATGGTGTCTTCGATACGGGCACAATGTGCGTATGTCGCGGTGGAACGTCGTCAGCACTAACCACACGGAGGTGCCGATGAGAGGGCATCGCACGTCGAACGGTAGGTCCTTCATCATCCTTGTCTTCCGACCGACATTCATCGATGTGATCTTTTGCAGTAGCAGCATCATGTTCGGCGAGAACCTGCTGCATATATGTCCTAGGCTCGTTCAGGGTGGTGTCACGCCAGTTGGACTGCTCCGGCCTTGCCTGAGCTGCGATTCGCCGACGGCGCTCTTCAGCTTCTTCCGATGTCTCAAAGCGGTACGCAGCGGTAAGACTGCTCGATTCATCTCGGCTAGGGCTCCGTTCGTTGCCTGAGGGCACAGTGGTGATGTGTCTTGGAAGTGACACAGTTGATGATCCTTCGCAGGTTTTCGCACTTTCCCGGCGAGTACACTGAGTGCTGGTTTGTAAATCCGACTCGTTGAGGGTCTGCACGTCCACCGGATTAGAGTCCGACTTGTGCTCATCGTCGCTATACACAGACGACGAATCTGAACCGCCAGAAAGGACAGCGCTCTGCCTAGATGGATCTATCGCTGTCCATGCGAACATCGCGATTTCGAACAACAAGCCGGTCGCAGATCAAGCAACGCAGCTGCGGCTGATCAGACAACGTCAAGTGGCCGATGGCGTAGACTCGCATCCGTTTGCTTTGAGGTGGATAGGAAACGTGGCAGCAAACGATGTTGATTGTCGCACCGTTGTTTGTCGAGCGCCGAAAAGGAGAACGATACCTTCAAGCGTGGTGGATTTGTATCGCAATGTCTGAAAGTATTTCCTAGGCTACCTCCGTGCGCGGATCTTTGTCAATGAAACAAAAGTATTTCTCCTCCGACTTACGCGGCATCGCAGTGAATATCTTCCCAATCTTTGTTCAACCCACGATAAACCTAAGCACGTGCAGGCTACCTAAACAAACCTTCACCTCGTCGCATATAACTGAAGCAACCAACACCTCTGCATGATACATCTTAGTGACTTGGTCTGCTGGTCTTCACATCCGACATACACGATCCGAATCGCTACCATTTCGAGTCACTCCGGCAGCCGGAAAGCATGTCATCGAAGTACCCGAATACCAATCCAGCCAGTTCACCAACAGCCCAAAAAGGGCAGAAGGCCAACGATGCCAGCGTCGGGGATCTGAGCGAGCGACTTACAGACGTCAAGATCGGCATCAGCAAGAATGTTGCCATGGAGGATCTGACGAAGGATCTAGCCTCCAAATGGGAGCCGTACGGTGCTCATTCTTCGCAGCCGAAAGGTGGTGGTCGTGCACAAGGCACATCGTGACCAGCAAATGCGGCAGCGAAGTCCAACCTTCTAGCAGAGACGACCGGAACAGCTGACGCGCATTGATGGAGCCTCATGTCGACGTTGGCTGGTACAAGCGGTCGAACGCGTATGACAGCGAGCTTTAGGGCGTGAAGACGATGCCGTCGCGAAAGCCAGGGTGGTCCGAATGGTTCGATGAAGATATATGTAGAAGACCCAACGACGCAATGCTCAATAATGCGACACCTGTTCTGATGCTGCCAGCGAGGTCGTGCTATGGTGGGTAGACATGATGCGTCGGAGAAGAAAGGGAGCGACGCTAGCAGCACGCTAAATTACGTGATTACGTCACGCGTGCCGTAGCTCGCCGTCTTGAGCTGCGCGACCCCAGAGCCCTTCACTCTACCTCCACAATTAAGATTCGCTATTTTCATGCCATGCATCACGTTCAGAGCCATGGAAGACTCACCCACACGCCATGACGGCAAGCCCGGTACACAATGCGAGCTACCGAGAACGCGTCAGACGCGCCTGCCAGTATCTAGCACAACGCATCTTGCGGTTCTAGTCGCGTTATGCTGAGGGACATGCAACTGCGATGAGAAGCGGTCTTGGGCAAAGGTGCGCTCAGAAGTACCTTGCCCGGCTCTATTAATGTGTGTGCAACAAAGCCCACAGTTGCGTACGAAGGACGATGAAATTTGACGGCATTCCTGCTGGATGATTCATTGCGCGAGACTCCCCATACGATCTTCTCAAAATCTCTCTCCGTCAAGGGCCCGACTGTGTTACATGGATACAACTCACTCCACCCCACTTCGGGGCAAGGCGCTCATCGTCTCCGGGTGCTTACTTGCCAAACCAGCCCTGCAATAATCCCTTCGATCTACTGACGTCGCCTCCGACCTTTTCCTTCTCTTCTGGTTCCGGTGTCGAATGGCGAGATACACGTTCCCAGTCATTTTCGTCGTCAGGATGCCGTGGGAAGTGGACGAAGCCGGTAGAACTCACCTCAACGGGCGCCATCCCATCGATAATGTGGTAAAATCCTTCACTCTTCTCGTGTAACAAGTTTCCGGTCGATGGAGCGTTTCGATGAGACCTCGGCGATTTCGGCTTCTGGCTATGGGGAGGCTTGTTCGAAGTTTTAGCTGGCCGTCGGGCCTGCTCATGAAGCATATCCCGTTGCAACTTTATCTCGAAGTCGTGCACCCGTTTCTCGATACGTTCGCGCGCGATCTCCCTGGCCAGCTCGGAGTCTGGGGGCAGGAAAGCTTCTTTGGCAAGCTAGAGCTCGTTAGCAACGAGGCTTCTTCACCTTTGGCATGAAGCCTACAATGTCTCGCCGAAAAGCTGCCACTCTAGATTTGAACTCTGCAGAATTGCAAATATCGCTTAACGCTTTCTTCTCTTTTGCAAGAGTTTTGGTGGCATGTCTGGACATGGCTGCGTCAACCATCTGGACGGCCTCTGCAACCATACGCTCGGCTTGTCCGATGTCTTCCTTTGTTATTGATGGCCGAGACGGATCCCTGGGCTGACGGCTCGTATGTCTACGTTCTTCGTTCATGTTGGATGTCAACGCGATCGCTGTACTGGAAGCGGTGGGCGAGTTGAAGTAAAAGTAGGTTTCCTGGTTGAAGTATACAATCACGGTCTCGCTGGTGTGCTGGTGTGGAGTTTTATATTCAATACCTCACATGGAAGCTCACAGTGAAGAATGAACTAGGCCATTCGCGATTCGGAAGCAGACACACAATCATTGAGTTCACGAAGTCTGCATCACCATCCGGGCTGGCAACGCAAGCATTCACATTCACTTCATCATCCGCAACACGGTTCACTCCAAGAAAGAACAACAGGGAACTGGATCTTGAGGGAAGCGCACTGTCCTGAATCTACTCTGTTGCACACGATAAGGTTCTACTACCTCATATCGGCCTGCTTGCGACCGAATGCATGTCGGAACCATTGGCGAACTCTGCCCCACCTCTTAGTCTTTCTATCATCTTTGCTCATTTCTCGGGCCCAAATCGGCTTCACGTTGGTGTTGACAAGATTCTCTTCTCTCTGGCTTAGCATGGGCTCCGCTCGAGGTATCGTGCGCTGAGTATTCATGTGCTGCGAGGGTGTTGGTAGATGAAGTCGAGCAGTTCGAGAGGTAGCGTTATCCACTTGCAATGGCGATGGGCTGTATAGCATCAGAGGTTGGGGAGTTGGTGGTCGTGAAGCCGCTGCTTTGGAGTCATGTTGAACGTTGGTGGCCTCTTTGGCGTCGCGATTGACTGTTATCGAGACAGCCTGCGGTACGACTTGGGTATCCTCTGCGTCAGCACGTTCGATGTTTCCCCATACTGGTACAGACTCCAGGTCATCGCTGAACCTCCACCAGTCATTTTTGTGGCGCGGTGACTTCGAATCGTCACTGAAACGCCAGCCAAGGGCTTGCGGAACGCCGCTGCTTCGGTGCCGCAGCATTCGAGGCCGGCCAGCCCTATTGTGTGACTGGACGCCGTCTAGAACGACGACTTCATCTCTACTTCGATTCGCATCGTCGCCAGACTCCGAATTCTCATCATCGGAAGATTCCCCGAGAAGGGTGTACAGCTGTCGATCATCAAGTGCTGGGAGGCTGGATCGCATCATTGTCAACCAATCAATCCGCAGTTCGTCATACGCACAGCAAAGTCTTCGAAGCTTTGTGCTGGAGTTACCAAACGAATAGCGCTGATGCTCGCGGCCAAACACGATCCCCTCATTCCGGAGAACTCTCTTTAGAGTACGCAGGTCAGACCATAGTTGTCTGTCTGCACCTCCGTAGTTGGGAGGCTCATACTTGTCGATAAAGAAGCTGTTCCATTGCTCTTCGTACATGGGACCGAGACGTAGCATGATCTGGAACTCCGTGGACGCGTAAGGGTTACCGTAAGTGAGAAGCTCTCCATTGTCGGAGAAAGTGGCACCCATCTGTTGTAACCGACCACGCAGATGTAGAATCTCCGCGAGTTCATCCAGTATCGTTTTACGCTGGGTTGTATGGTACGTCTCGTTTGTTGGCTCGCAGATCTCTTGGGCGCCGTATACACTCAAGAGATGCTCCATCCCCGTCTCGGTGGTCTTTACCGGACTACCCGTGAGTAGAGCCAAGGCATCTTCGTGGGCTTGCATTTTGGGTTGTAAGGTTGCAAATTGTGGTCGTTGGCTCCTGAAAGGTTGCATTGGAAAGATTGCTATAGTTGCGGTGCGAGGTGGTTTGGTGTGCAAGAATCGTTTGCAACAAAGGAGATTTGATTGGGGCCAAATGAGAGCCCAACCGCGCAACCCTTCAGCATGGGGTTGATTCACCAGACGACGCCGCCGCAGAATGACCGCCGAGATGGTGTGCTTGGAGAACCATTTCACTCCCCACTTGCATGTGCACCTGCGTAAGGCGCACAGACACCTGAGCACGTGTGACTCGCACGCTTATACGATATAACAACAGCTACTCGTCCTTTCGGCGCGGCTCACCCCGTAGCTGGAGGCGCCTATCTACCAGGACTACAGCGCCCTTACGCATCTCAAGAGATCTATTCCACCGATCTCGACTTCGCATATCGTGGGCCGGGTCTTGCTATTTAACATTACCGCGATCTAGGAATCTTCGGTCCACCTGACGCCCCCGCGTCACCGCTGAGAATGAAGTATGAGCCGGCTACCAGCTCACCTTCAAGCACTCCCATCAACACTAAGCTGATGACTATGTCTCGGCCCGACACACTATCTGCCAGCACTAAGAACCAACTGCGTGGGAAAGCTGGCCCCGTATCACATTCACCAACTCTGCGACATCGTGCCCGATCAGTATCGAGCGGTCTTCCCCCACGTGGTCTCGTCGCATCGCGGGTCAATACCATCAACATGGTTAGCCCATTGACTGGTGTAGTCGTCCCCGCACTCAGTGATCGCGACACACTGCCATCTCAGGCAAAACCCTCTCCACCGACGCCAACGCCTCAATATCGCCCCGGTGCACGCTCGGCTCATAGCTCCCCGCTGAAGCGCAAATGCAAGATCGACGACTTCGCTCTTCCGCCACCCCCGCCGACCGTATCCGCAAACGAAGCTGCTCAGGACGCTGTACTAGCTGCATCGGACCTCGTCGCATCTAGTAACAAAGGCATTGTCCAGAGCGAGGCCTCGAACAACGACCGCTTTAAAGCCCTAGACGACTCAACAGCGGGTAGTACACCATTCCACCGTGGCCACCGACGAAACAAGACAAGCTCATCACAGGTGGTCTCACGCAGTAACCCGCTAAAGGGAGCTACATACGGTACGGAATCGATTCGCGCGACAGCAGGACAGTATAGCCATTGGCTGACAGATCCACACCATACTTTCTCTCCAGACGACTATTCAGGTGTGGATTTGTTCAGCTGCGATACTTCTCCTGAGGTGCGTGCTACCAAACGACAGTCGCTACCAGGCTACAGCAGTATAACCTCCACCATGGAGTCAGGCAGGTCGGAAGAGTTCCATGATTACACCCTATCACCGAGGACGACAGCGGACGAAACCAAAGAAGATGAGCGCACACCGTCCAATCGATCCTACACCCCTAGCTACGCCGAATCTTCTCCGGGAGCTGGAGCGACATCTTCGGCGGCTGAGCCACATTTGCCGCTTCGTAGGGTCGAGAAGTTCAACGATACCGAGAGCTTCAACTTGAATGAGAGCCCCTTCTCACAATACGAATATGCGCTCTCGCTCTCGGACATGGATACCGACGATGTTCGCGAACTCTACCCATTGGAAGCCTTTACCCAAACAAGCGCTCAAGATGGCTGCGCCATCCATGACTGGGCGTCCCCATGGCCATCGGGGCAGCCTGTGAAGAAACTCCTCCGCTTTGCTTCCCGACCAGACTTTGCGCCCTCCATGCATTATGATTCAGAATCAGATGACTACCCTTCTCTGCAGAACCTCCTTGATTTGAACGAGCATGGTCCTGAGCCACGAATGAGTCCGCTCCGTGCTGTCAACGCTCACCCTCAGGCACAAGATGATGGGCTGACGACCCTCGCACCAGTTTCCTACTATCCGGATGTTGGATCAGAGATGACTATCCTTCTCCCGCGAACGTACAATGCGACTTCCGACGACGATGAAATGACTCTTCCTTCACGCACACACAATGCGACTAGTAGCGATGAAATTATGTGTCTCCTCCCGCTGACGTACGATGCGAATTCTGTGAGCGCACTGGAGAACGCGTCGACAATCAAGCGGAAGCCGATACTGCGAAAGGCCAAAGACGGGTCGCTTCGAACTTCTGCACCGTCTTCCAGCTCTCCAAACTGGGTGGTGCATGACGTATACGATAGCGAGGAGGATCTCTGGATGAAACCCTGCAGCGGCGTTTCGACGAATACGGAAGCCTCGGGCCGTCACCACCGCGATGAGTTGGATGACCGCGACGCCAACATTGAACAAATCCATATTGAGAAGAGGCACAAACGCAATGGCTTGAAGACCACACATGAGCAAACCGCGAACTCTGTCGGCAAGTTCATTGATCCGCGCTCAAATGCAGATGTTATCAAAGAACCCGCACCAATCGGCTCAATCACCCGTCGTCCACTCCCGATCATCAGTCATGTTCTGAACCCTCCACTCCCAACCAACACCGGTATTCTGGACCTCAGCTTCCAGTTCCCAGCCCGACATCCGGAGCAACAGCGCGGTGTCAGCATGCCTCTCTTTCCCCCGCCTTCTGCTGCGCTTGCTCAAGAAAAGAAACATGCGCGACGCAAATCTTTTGGGAAGTTGCTTGGTGCTTTCGGCAAGAAGGAGCAAGAGCCTACGGCGGCAGAGGCGAAAGAGAAGCCAAAGAAGTCGCTCGGTCGGCGCATTAGTAGGAGATTCTCGTCGATGTGGGCGAAGTAAACCTCAGAGGCTTGAAAGCGCATTGTGGAAGGATCGACTCGGGAGCATGGAGGTGCGACCCTTCTGGCACACTGGATACCACTTCTGTCACGGTTTCTCGACGACACGTTGTTGGTGAGATCACTATGCTATGTCAAGACGGCGGCCATATGTGCACGTAGCAGATGCAGCGCGTATCGTACACTATATCAGAAGGGATAAGTTCGTGCACGTGCAAGGATTAATCAACATAACATGTCTAATACAAACTTAACGAAAGACTGCGAAGAAAACATCAATACCATAACCACTACACGCGAGTGAACAGGCCCTCGTAACTCAGCTCCATCGCTGTTCAGCACGCCTCCCCCAGAATGAGTCCATCACACCTCCAATCTAACAAGCCAGAATGCCAATATGGTTTACTGGCAAATAATGACCCCATTATCAAGGTTCGTGTTACCAAACTCCGCATCAGCACCACCGGGCCTATTATCGAATTAGCTCTTGCCCCCATTCCAACATTATTACTGCGACATAATCTAAGTACTGGGATAGAGGGAAGTAAGCTTACACAATAGTAGCAATCCTCCTCGTAGCCGCAGCATCGGTAAAGATGCTACAACTCCCACTCCCGCTCCCCACAACCAGTGCGCGGTTTGCGCGAATGGGTGAACCCAGATTACCGAAATTAGCGCGGATGGAGATGCGCATGCCGTTTGCGGGGATCTCACGCTGGGCTCCGGTTTCGGTGGCGTCGTTGGAGAGTTGGACGCGCAGGGTGCGGGTTTGGCGGGGGGAGAGGGTCGTGGAGGTGGGGGCTGCGAGGGCGGAGACCGCGAGGAGAGGGGCGAGGAGGAAGGTGAGTTGCATTTTGAGAGAATATGGGTGATGTGGTTGGAAGGTTTGGTAGGGAGGAGGTTGGAATGGGTGTGATGTTGGAGATGTGGAAAATGTAGAAGAGTGTATTGAATATGCTGTGGGCGAGAAGAAGAGAAGAACATGGTATGTCGACTTTATGTCTTCTTCACATACCGCTACCGTACATTCGTACACGGTGAGTTCTCGTTCCGTTCTTTTCTTAGACTTACTATGCGGCTGTCTCTGCTCAGCCTTCATGGATGCTAGCACTTCCGCTACCATACTTACTCATCTTTCCAAGCTCTCCAAGCACCAATGATAGAGACGAGACCAAAGCACGCAACGCGCAACCCTAAGTTTTCGTAAGAAACATCTGCTGTTGAGACTTGGTTAATAGCTTGGTACTACAGAGCTGACAATAGATGTGATGACAAGCATGTCAGTGAGTGCAAATTTGGAACTCGGATATTAATTTAGTCACTTGTCTGAACAATCCCGGGACGGAACGCGTTAGCTGTTATGCTGATGTCAGACCGCAAGTGGCTGATGTGGGGTACATAGGACTGGGCGCGTGAACATGAGAATCTGAGTTTTGGACTGTTTTTGGAATCTAGATGGTGTTGATGGGCGAGGTGATGTGCTCAGCATGTAGTACCTGTGCTGCTCTAAAGTGGCGCCATACTGCAAGGGTGCGTTGCCAGGGCCTGCATAGCGATGCAGCGGCGGGGTATATGCGACCGTTGTGAGTGGCATGACCATGGTGACCAACAAAGGATGTGGTACACTGTTTGCAGCATCGGGCCGCGTAACAGGATTGGTGGCTGTATGTCAGGAACAGGTGCGAAATAGACTGCTTCCTTTGTCAGCGTTAGTCAAGAACGTCCATTCTAGCACTGGTATATTGCTCTCGACAGCCAGCTTTGAAGCACCTCTTGTTCTGCCATACACGAAGACGAGATCGAACGGAATGAAGCATGATGTGAAATGATTGTTTTGTATTGATACATCGTGGGCAGATACTGGTTTGTCCACGTATACGGCCGTCGCAGTCTTAGCCAAGGTCGTCGCTATAGTCATGCTCGCGTCATGAAGTTGACCATCTACCTCCTGGGTAGAACGTCCTTCGCGCCATCCTTCACCCGTTGTGCGGCATCGGCGACGGCGTCCCTGGTGAGGTGGAAGTGCTGACCGAGACGGTCCTGCGAGAGTGTTAGTATTGTGTCCAAGGCAGCGGATATAGCTAGTAGCTTACCTGCTCAGCTCCCATGCCGCTACCGGCCATCAGCTTCGCCCTCTGCTGGCCATCGTATCCAAGGCCAAAGTACTTGGCGTTCTTCTCTCCGTTGGCAGCCACGCTTCCCGCAGCTTGTATCGCCTTGGCGGCATCGATGCTGTGCAGCGCAGGGCTGAAGTGTGCGTTGTATCGGTCTTGCTCGGCGCCATCGCCCTTGTACTTGGCCGCTGACTTCATGGCGTTGTAGCCACGGTCACCGATGCTCATGTGGTCGCCGTAGCGGTCCTGCTCGGCGCCCTCGCCCTTGGCCAAGGCAGCTTGTTGCAGCTTGTTGAGGCCCTTGTCGACACCACGGCGGATGGCATCTGTCGAAGCGCCGAAGTGCTCGCCGAAGCGATCTTGCTCAGCGGCGGAGCCGTGCTTTGTGGTGACATCGACGTTGACGGGGTGAGTCGCGAGGGAGGACTTCTCGTCGGAGCTGAACCAACCCATTGTGATTGATTTGAGGTTGTTTGTGGTGGGTGAAGAGAGGTTGAAGTTGAGTTGAGAGTGTGGGAATTGAGTTTGCAATGGCTGTGTGATGGTGTGAAGTGGACGAAAAGATGTCGTGTTATGTTGCTGGGTTGCGGAGAATGATGACGTAGGGGCTAGCGAGCGCGCTAGAATCCTTGTCTTGTGCCTGATCGTCATGTGAAGACGTCGCCGCGGCCCACTAATCATCATTGCAATGTCAAGTTTGCCGTTCCTTCATGCTGTTGTTTTGTTTTTGCCATGTCCGGCTCTCCGCGTTGTGCATTTCATCACAGAGGTCATTGTGCTATGCGCTTCCTGTGCCCCGACTTTGACGCATTGCAGGAGAACAACAATTCAGCCAGTCCTTCAACCTTTGATGAGTATGTACCTATGCGAAGCGGTTCAGGTTGCATGGAAGCGACGTTTCTGCAGATTATAAGGTCGCGTACGAGAAAGACGCGGGCTTCGAGGGGTGGCTGCCCCACTCGGAGCTATGCGAAGCCTGATTGGCTAGTCGATGGCGCGCACCACAGACGTTCTTCCGTCATCCTTCCCGTCCACCTATCTTCTACCTACGCCGCTTACACGCACAGTTGGTGTTTGGTTCTTACTTCATGCTTTCCATAGTCATTTTCCGTTGCCGTCTTACATCATACTTTCACCACCTTTACCCGTAACCGGTTCGGACGCAGCAGTCTTCTCAAGAACTACTCGCTCTCTTCCGCGTGTCTTGCGTTTCATGGCCTCAAGGCGCTTAGAGACTTACCTTCAAGCAAGAGCTAAAAGACCCTATCAAGGTCTGCGTTGAAATTCCGCGTTTGTTAACTAGCTTAGATCTACCAAGCCTTTGCACGCGCAATGCGCTGTTACGGGCGCTCGACAAATACCGCTTCCTAGACTTCTAATACACTAAGGGATAAGCATCAGCCAGCCTCTATTTCTAGGAACCACAGCACCTAGCAGAGGTCTTGATGTACAGCATTAACACGCTTTAACGCAGTATTAACAACCTACAGACTCTTCCCTATGTATTGCGCATTGCTCATTGCGCAAACGCGCCAGCATCTAACCTCTCGCATTTCAACTTTTCACTCATCAAAAAAAGCTTAGCAAAAAAAAAGAGCTATCTATTTCTCCTCTCACCAGCCTCGAACCATCACCCTCAACTAGCAAAAAGATACCATGGAACCTTGTATTCTATCCAGGTATGAAACTTGCTTCTTTAATGGCAGTTTATCACGACTAGCTTGATGTTTTTTCTGATTGGCTTCTTGTTCGATTCTTGTTTGTGGCCTTGAGCTTCCTCTGGCTTCGGCTATAACCGGCTGGAGTGCTGAATGTTTTTTCTGTGTGCTAGCCGCCACCCTTTTGTTGGCAGGTAAAGGTGGTTTCGATGGTGGATTCGGGGATTGGGTGGGTTATAACTGCGGGGTACAGGGCTGTCGGGGTGAGAGCAGAGATTTTGGGAGCAGGTGAGAGAGACGCGTTGGTGCGGTCGCGTGGCGGCTCTTGTGAGGTGTGAGAGCGGAGGTGAGAGCGCGTTGACAGACCACCCAGGCGATAGCGCGCCCGGATGAGAGCACGAAGACGAAGAGGAGGTCACGCCACGAGAGCACTGCAAAGTCACCATCGGCTTTCCTTCGTCATGCCCACGAGATGTGGCACTTATGACGATCGCGAGCTGCCATTGCATCAGGAAAACGCAGCGCCAACAGGCAACAAACGCGTCGCCAATACACCGGGCCAGTATTTATGAACTATCTCGCGCTGAGAGACCGGTTCTGTATCGGACGAGCAGCGACAAGATGGATTTACAACGTGCCAGCGTCCCGACGCGCAACCAATATGACCGCGTACGCCAAATACAGGCCGTTGGCAACTTTCACAAGGCGATATGGCTCCTCAGGAACAAAACAACCGGCCAGCTTGCTGTGCGCAAGGAATTCGATCCCGGAGACGTTGCGTCAGGTTTCGTCGCGCGCGAGATAAGCCATCTCATATGTCTATCGAACTGCCCTAATATCTGCACCTACCGCGAGCATGAGCTGAACTTGGCAACAGGTACTGGCGCACTCGTCATGGATGTGTACGCCTACGGCGATCTATGGACTTTGCTCGAAAAGCATGTCAACCAGCGCAAACCGTTCCACGAAGGCTTCATCTGGCACGTCTTCAGGTCGCTAGCCCGGGCTCTCCGACATATGCAACGAGGCGACCCTCCAGTTCTGAACGACACATGTGACTGGATAATTCACCGAGACATCTACCCGCGCAATATCTTTCTCGGTCTTCCTGCCTCTCACGAACCGTCATGGCCGAAAGTCGTTCTCGGAGACTTTGGCTCGAGCATATCGAGTGTTGATCAGTGGCAAACCATTGAGCTGCGACAGCAACAGGATTTCAGTCCACCGCCTTTCGAAATGCCGAACAAAAAAAGAAGTGATGTATTTCAGGTAGGATTGGTTATCGTTGCGCTGTGTAGATTGACCACGATGCCGAGCCTTTACTTGCAGTCGTTTCAAGGTAGCCCAGCTGGGTCAACTTACACACCTATGCTCAACGATATTTTGAAGAGATGTCTAGAAATGCTACCGGTGAATCGCGTACCTGCGATGGAGCTACATCAGGTGTTGAATACTCGTTTCATCGGTGGTGGTAGTTTACATGGCTTGTTGCTTGGAGCGCCAATGTACCAGGCTTAGGTGGTACAGCCTCCCACACATAGTTTGGACGGAACTGCTGGATTCTAATTGACATGCCGACCCAAACATTGCGTTACTCATTATCTCCTCAAGATACACAAGGTATCTGCTCCGATGTCACGAGAAAGCTCCGCGGGTGAGACAAAGGACTAGTGCATATATGGTTTAGCGTGGACCCTGGCTGCCGTCATCCTTCCGGAAGACGCGTCTTCCCTTCCATCGCGTCTTCTTCATCGCAGCCTTCATCGTCTATACTTTCAGGCCGCTCGTATCGCCTTCTGGAATGATTGCATAACTATTGTAGTGCGATTTGCCGCGTCAATACCCGTGGACGCTTCCATGATCCGGTTGTCGCCTTCCTCTCTGCTCCTGCCTCCGACAGCCAGTCAGTACGGCACTTTTGACATGGCGCGCTCAGACAACACTGCAAACTTCGACAGATCCAGTGGCTATATTTTTGAGTCTCTCGCCATCATGCAATCTACAACACTCTCACACGTGCTCACATGAGGGTAGTCTCGTTGTTTGTGTGAGTCGATGTTTGTTGCCTTCGTTATGATCGTGACTGCGGTCAGCTGCTAACAAGTCGACCCATGACGAGAGGATGGAATTATATCTAGCTAGAGAATGGCAGCCTTTTCTGGCTTCTCACATCATCTCAAGAGATCTTCTGCAATTCTCTGCTCATGGCTTCGACATTCTGTTCTTATTGTCACAAACCAGCAACACTGAGATGCGGCTGCAAACAACACTACTACTGCAACGAGGATCACCAAAAGGCTGATTGGACAAATCACAAGCACACCTGCCACGACATCCGGCTTGAAGCCTTTCTGCCGCAAGTCGCCAACGTCATTCAGTCAGCCTCTCTTACACTCCTGGAAGCTACAAACATGATGCTGATTACGAAGATTAAACTGGACAATCAGAGGATCGTCGCCTACAAGGGTGTTAATTTTAGCAACAACCCGTTCCCGAAGCTCACTGACGATGTGTTCCTTGATACAGCCACCAAACACGCGGTGCTGTGCTGCAATGCGCGATTTTTACCCCTAGCATATATGCATCTGTTGCTCAAAAAGCTCATCAAGAGTAAGTGGCCCGGCATATATCTGCGCGCGATTTAATGATAAGCTGACACTTGACCAGCCAAACATGTTGAGATCCACGAAGTCATGGTAAAGATCAAGACAGCATCACGGACCGTTCTTGTCCTCGCAGATGACGGTACAGAGAGCGAGAATTGGCTTGAGCACAATATTTCACTGTTACGAATTACCGCCAATGGGAGCCGAAAGCAATGGTACATCAACCTATCCGGTGCTGAGCTCGGGCTTACGCAAGCATTCTTTACCGCTGCCGACTTCGAATCCAAGCACATGCAGGCGCTTTGTGCAGTTTTCGAGTTCGGTAAATGCAGAGAATACATCTGGACTTGCTCAACTATGCCAGGCTGGTTTGCGCAGACAGAGCGCATCGGCCTTCAGGCCTCATCACGAATGGAAACAGCACTACTGACCTTCTTGCAGCAGCCTGGAAATGACTTGAAAACCCTTCGTAAGAGGAGTATGGCAGCCTCGACGAGCTGGACACAACCGTTGGTTGAGGCTTTGTCTCAGGCCGTTCATGGGTACATCTCCAACTACAATGTCAGTGAACTCATGTCTCAGATCATGCATGAGCCAGAGATCTTGTCGCAAGAAATGACGAGGAGGCATTTCCATTACGCTAGCATTCTCGGTGATGCTATGACGGACGAGGAGAAAGCGAACCACCCTAAGGTAACTTCCGACCTAGCTCAGATTCAGCAACAACACAAAGGCCCTGGCGTGGATATGGTGATAGAGGAGTTTAAATCTCTTTAGTTAGAGATGTTCACGGTGTATGGCCACGGTCGGCGACCAATTGATGTGAATTACAAGTCCATCTCTCGATCAGTATCATACAGTGGATCTCGCGCTTCACATATCAATATCGAGTCGCTTCGCTTGGGCGTTGGTCGTGAACAGATGGTCCCTCCCACTTCATACAAGAAGAAAGTTGAACAGGTCTGCAGACTACAATAGGACAAGGTAAGTAGATTATGACAGCTTTGGGGCAATGTAGGCTCCTCGTTGTTCATATTTTCCCTAGATTGACGTCCTCCCGTTCTTTGGACACCGTCAGGGAGTTGGTAAGGCGCATCTGGAAGCTTCTAAGGCCGCACACACGTCAAGCAATCAAACGTGCAAGCTATCGACTGGGCCTAGAACGCGTCATAATTGGCCTTCACCTCGTCGGCGGTGTGCGACCGGAACAGATATCGCTTAGCTCCATCAAAGATCTCGCCGCGACCACAATAAACAAACGCTTCCATTGACCATCATCTTAGTCGCTCAACACGCTCTGAAAGACGACACCCAAAGTCATGGCGCCGGAATCACAAGCGGCGTGCGCCGTCTGTGGCGAGCCGGCAAACAACAAGTGCAGCGCCTGCAAGTCGGATACCCTATCGCGCCAATACTGCTCCAAGATCTGCCAGAAGAAAGACTGGCCGACTCACAAGAAGGCTTGCAAGGACGCCCAGAATGCCAACCTCGAGAGGAAGCTTGCACGCGTAGCCGAGATCGTCCAGCAGGCTTACTACGACTTCCGTGAGAATACATGGGATCTGCACCTGGTCAAAGTCGACGACGGCGACGACGCTCTGGTAGTCTACGACGGCGAAGTACCGGAGCGGTCACACCAGTTCACTACATTTCCGCAACACCTCTTCTCCAACGAACAGACCAAGCACGCGGTGATCTGTATGTTGATGTGCAATGAGCCATTAGCATGGATGCATAGCATTATCTACAAGCTCCTAAAAGGTATTGCGTATCAGAACTGGTTTTCGGTGCGTCGCTGACTTAGTTTAGATCTGCAAACCACAGTTCAAGAAGTCAGCCTGCAACTTGGCTCGATTCCCCGCAAGACGATTACCTGTTACCCAGAAGGCGAGTTGCCTAAGGTGAATTGGCCTGGTTATACCCATGAAGCCATTCGCATCACTTCTACTACGACAAAGAAGCAGTGGATCATGGACATCAGTGGTGCTCAGTATGGCATCAACAAGTGTTTGTGGACATGGCAAGCATATGAACACTCACACCAGGCCGATTTCCAGTCTATACGTCCTCTCGGCTTCAACAAACACGCTCTCACGACCCTCGGTAAGATACGAGGCAGCCCGACCATCACCTATGGCGTGATCGGACAAGTTGCAGATTTTCTCGCTATGACGGTCAACGAGTGGTCGACTCAGACTGGTATGACTCTTCCTCAACTGATCATGCTCGGCAGAAAGGAGTATGAATCGAATGCATCCGGTCTTCTGAAGTTCATGCACAATACAGTCCGCACATTCATTAGTGCTAACAGATTCGAGAAAGAGTGGGCAGCCATGGTGTTGTACGAGGACTTGTATCCCGGCGTCAGCAAGTCACGATACGATAGGATGATGAGGGAAATGTTCTCTGCTGGCACCTTTGTGGACAAGGAGTAGAGATAACTTTCTCTATGAGCGCATTATTGGGTAATGCATCAAGAGCCATCATGCGGCATCACAAGTGTATCGTCCACCAGGGCATTCAAAAATCTCTCTTACACATGTAGATTGATCGGTTTCTACGAATTGACTCAGTCTTTGAGCTTGTATGCTAATTCGCTCATGTGGTGAAACATGTCGACTGTCCTACCATGCAACAAGAGTGTCGAAGTGATCATGTAGAGATAGCGACCCGAAGCCACAATGTAAAGGGAAAGCAAGAGCAGGTGCTGGTGCTGTGGCAACTACATGACGTCCAGTACATCTCAAATAACGAGCATGAAGCTTACGTCGGCGCCGCGCTTTGGTGTTCATCGCCTTGATCTGGTAAGCTTTATCGTCCACAATAATGGAGAGCAGGTATGTGTTCATGTCCTCGCCATCAATGCTAGGGCTACGCGCACCTATCGCAGCGCTGATCTCCTCGGTATCAAAATAGACGTCGTTGACTGTAGTCACTGCATATATGCACGATGTGACGATGTGTCGCCAGTTCGCCGCGATAAACTCAAACGGGAAGAGACAGCGGTTTAGTACTAGGCGCCATAGCTTCAACTGTAGCCGCGCAAGATCCTTTGAGTGCTTCTGATACGCAGGACATGTCTTCTCGAATGTTTGCATGAAGTCAGCAATGGCGAGCCTCGCGCTTCTATCGATGAGCAGTTTTGACACTGCGGGAAGTAGCTGCTTAATACCTTTCATTGATGCACCAACGCACATCGATAGCTGGTTCAACCTACCAGGCTGTTCAATGCCGGCGCGTACAGCGCTCAGGTACAAGACCATGGCAGCCAGCTGTTCATATGTCGCATCCACCCATAGATGCTGATGATCAACGCATGTACCCAATCCGTCCGTGATGCCGTTAATGGTGGTCTGAGAGAAGCCCATATCTTTTGCGACATCAACAACATCCTCGATAAGGCCTTCCAATCGTCGGTTATTGTTGACACGGTACGCAGCAATATCTTCAGGCGTGCTAGGCACGAAAAAGTGCTTCGAGGACGTTACCACTGCGATGTCGCACCCACGAGCGCGCATAATTACCGGCACGTGAGATTGATTGAAAAGCGGAAAATTCGGCAAGATGAGCTCACTCACTCTTGGACTACGATATCTGATCCGGCTAGATTGTTTCATCTTTTGACGTTCGCATAAAGTACACGCGAAAGCTGTGGAGTTCGTGATGGGCGTCGTACAGTTCCGTCCACACAGAGATACCTGCTCAGTGTGAACGGTATGGCCACATTCTAGGCGATGCAAGTGTGATGCGCCACTATAGCAAGGCTCGGTACGATCCTTAATGCTCATGCTGAGCGTCGTCAAGTCAGGACGCCGGTGATCTTTCTCTAGCGTTCTCTCGTGTTCTGCGATTGCGCGACGCATGTCTTTGCGAGACCTTGTATCTTCCATGGTAAGGCGTGAAAGATACCTGAGGTAGATCTCGTGATCGCAGGAGGTGTGAAATGAGAATTTGGTATGGAACTGTTTATAACCGCGCTTTCTCTCGGTATCTCAACAGCGTCAATAGAGCATAGTGATGATTCGGGCCAGGTTTCGTTGTGAACGCAGGTTATCTCGCGTGCTGATAGCCCGTTATCGAACCGTAGCAGTAGCAACAGCCTCCAGCATAGATGCAATAAGAGATCTTTAAGGCACTTGGGCGGAAGGGTCATGTGATGCTCGTTTTGATGTGAATGTTCTTGATACATTGTATACATTACTCAATATCTACAAAGTCATACAGTCTTTCTCTTTTTCGTCTAGTAGTGACCCTTCTTGGCCTTGATGCCCTTGAGGAAGCCAGCGTAGGCAGGCTTCTTCATGTAGTTGTCGTCCCAAAGCAAGGCAGCACCCTCGTTCTCAAAGACACCAGGGATCCAAGAGTACTTGTCGGAGATACCCCAGACAGTCATACCAATGCATCGCTTGACGTTCATGCACGACTTGGCAACACGCTCGAAAGCATCGGCCTGGACCTGGAGCTTCTCGGGAGTGGCGGGCGTGTTCATACGAAGGTCAATCTCGGTGTAGACGACGTCAACGCCAAGGTCAGCAGTCGCGCGGAGAGCAGCCTCGAGGGTAGCTTGGTCGGGAGCGGCACCGGGAGCAGTGGGAGTGGACTCAGTGGCAAGATGGGCCTGGTAGCCGACACCGTCGATGCGGACGCCGTAGGACTTGATGAGCTTAACGATGCGCTGAGCACCCTGGGTCTTCTCCGCGTTGTACTCGAGGTTGTAGTCATTGTAGAAGAGCTCAGCCTTACCGCGGTACTTGTTGGCGAAGCGGAAAGCGATGGGAAGGAAGGCATCGCCGATGGTGTCGTACCAGACGCTGGAGCGGTAGGTACCGTTCTCGTTCAAGGCCTCGTTAACTACGTCCCAGCGTGTGCAAACGCTCTTGTAGCGGGTCATGACGGTCTTGATGTGGTCCTCCATGATACTAATGAGGGTCTTGTTGTCGAATCCGCCCTCAGATACCCAGGCGGGCAGCTGAGAGTGCCAAACCAAGGTGTGGCAGTGGACCTCAAGCTTGTTCGCCTTGGCGTATGCCGCATAACGGTCGGCATCCGCGAAGGTGTAGTTGCCTTGGTTTGGGTGAACAGACTCAAACTTCATCGCGTTCTCGGGAGTGAAGGAGTTGAAGTCGGCCTTGATGATCTCGCCTTCGCGGGTCTCGTTGCGGAGGGTCAGGGCTGTGCCGATGAATTCCCGTCCTGCCTTCTTCATGGCCTTGTAGAGGCTGTCCTCCTTGGGCTTGTCATGGCCGTAGGTACTATCTCAATGTTAGCCAGCTAAAATGGTGGCGAGAATGCGGGTGACTTACGGGCTGGCAACAGCGGAGCTGGCAATCGCCAGACTGGCGACGATGCTGGAGAAACGCATGGTGATTGAGACTTGGAGTGTTGACTGATTCGAGGTTGTCTGCCACGGATACCCTTAAAGACATGGCGAGCCTGTCATCCTATATATTCTTCGACGGTTATTCTAGAAGTCTAGCGTATGCATGCTCAATCAATCTATCCGCTCTCGCGGTTCATCCTCACCCCAGTCGTTTTGTTTAACCGGGCTCGTGGCTCATGTGCAAACTTGTCCTTCGCCGCTGTAAACCCTTTGACCTGGCTGCATGGCGCCACCTGCTCGCGGGTTGCGGAGTTTCTCCAGACTAATCCACAAATCAACCGGCTTGGACCTCGGGATCATCGGGGTTATGGTCCTACTTCTGGGGTAGACGTTCTGGGCGCCAGCGGCCATTGCCTAAGCGAAATGCACATCCGGGGTAGACAGGCACGTGAGATGCAGGTCCCACTCATGTCGACAACGCAGGTGCAGATACGGCTGTGTCAATGGAGACTGGCCGGTTAATGTCAACTAATCCTCAGCCTCAAGCGTCCACTCCATCCATCCGAGCGTCTGATGCACTTGTCGGTGGTGGTGGTGATGATGGTAAATGGGATGGAAGAAATGAGGGGAAGATGCCCGGTTGCTGGGTTTGACCGCTCAGGGTCCGCGCTCACGGTTGATTGACGACCCACAACACCGTAAACTGCGATCAACATGCACCTCAATATATCGCGCATCCAATCTACGTCAATCCAACATTCTGTTTATTACTATCTTTCTTCTCTCACGTCGCCTCAATCATCGCATTCTCTTGCCCCCAGCCTTACACTCCAGTTCTCCGGCAGATCTCATTAAACTCGATGACGACAGGAGAAGCCGTGGAGATTTAGCCCACCCGTAAAGCCACGAACCACCTGGGCATCGTTTCCTTTCTTAGCGCGAATGTTTACTTGTGCGTGTCCCGCCCCAATGACCAAGATCGCACTTTAGCCATTTTAACCGGCGCCGCATCAACTTCCTCAGATCGCATTCTGGGCGTCTTTTCAGTGAAATGACACCGGTGACATTGAGTTTGCCTCAGTCAAGGGAACTTGGTCGAGAGCCAGGTGCGGAAGAGTCCGTAGAAGTGGCAACCGGAGTAATGGGGCCGAAATCAGTGCCATGACTCGACGCGCGTCGCCCCGTGACAATGCGGGTAGAACGCTCATCAACACCATCCATCTCATCACCTCTCAGTTCGTTTATATACGATTTTCAGCTAAGCATTCTGCGTTGTACGGTATCTAGAGAGCCTACAGTCGACGTGTGTCTTTACCGGGACCAATCCCGCTGGTGTTCTCTTCCGAACATTGAACACCCACAACGCCTTCTCGGATACCGGCTTTGAGAAGTGTTGGAATCCACTGCGATTGGAAGTCGTCTGTATGATCCGGAAGACATTGCTGTTCACTTCCACAAGGTTCCAAAGATCCGGACACGACATCTATATTGAGTTCCAAGTATCAGCAGACGTGCTGCAACGCATAAATTGCGGGAGTCGCCCTAAAGACGACAGAAGGGAACAAATTCTTCATGCTGACGGCTATCGACACGGACATGGATTTATAGCAGACTCTATACCAGCCACAGTACCGGTGGGCGTTAACGACCCAGGAAGATTGCATTCACGTTTACCGTACCGCTGCACACAGCCGAAGCATCCCGAGGTCTCGACTGCAGCGACTGCGAATGTCATGATCGGTCGCGTCATTCTAAGTACCTTCATGTGGAGCGTTATACTCATTCAACTCCACAGTCGTCCTTCATGTATACCTGTATCTCGAGTTCGTCACGCCGCTTTAGTCTTCAATCGACGATATTGTCACCAGGCTTCTTGGCCGAGAACAGACCGTTCAATGTCACGAATTGGTCAGTATTGATACCACTATAATGTTTATTGATCCTGCTCTTTCTCGACAAAGAGTTGATCTACAGATACTAACTACACTACGACCTCCATAAGGACGATACTGGACGCTGCAGCCATTTACATTGTGCAAGCACATCGCCCGACACCTTCGCCTTCACGAACCAGTTATCTGTATCAGCAAAGCACTGACTCATGCTATCGAAACCCATCTTCGTTTCCATTCCCCCTGATCACCGAAATTCTCCACATCGAACCGTGTCTATGGAGACTTTGTGACACGATCAAGAGCTTTGTCTCGTCATGACTCCTACGACTTCTCATATCCGGGCTGTGTATGCGATAGCATACCGTCAACTTTGCGGACTGAAGATGCAGTTTACAGACAGTATACCTGAATCAGACCCCCCGCTAGCAAAAGATCACAAAAAGAGCTGCAACAACACGGAAGGTTGTGGCACATACACTGAGTCAGGTACTTTGAGCCTGACCCCGAGCCTTAATAGATCAAGGCATGCGTTTTCATTTGGGCTAGATGACCAAACGAAAAGGCCACAACCTTTCGGTGACAAGACTACGAACTACAGCACGCCGCATCCAATGCGACGCATTGAGCAGGCCTCCGTTTGCTGATCGGCAACTCCGAGGTGTCACGGGTGAGTTGGAGAATGCGAAAAGGAGAGACGTGAAGTCAAGTGTGTTCAAATCCTGAGAAGATGCCCAAGATACACCTCAGGATATTGAGGGCTGAGAGCTGAGGTCGAGTGGCGGTTTATGATACACATCAGTAATCATATAGGGAGCTGAGCTTGCTAAAATCTTCATGCACCTACTCAAGGTCAGGCCTCCATGCGTGATGCCGACTCTCGTAACGTGAAAGGTCGGTGAACGTAGGTTACGAGCCCGTCGAGTATAACGCGACGCGACAGACCTCATCTTATCGGACTGGAAATTATTGCCTTCCAATCACAGTGCGTCGTTAAAAGATGATGCGCGACCACGGTACCCACCACCTCCGGTCTCATCGAAAATCCATCGAGGCTCGAACACGCAAAGACAGGGAGAGGCGAACTTGGGCATGTACCCCGACTATGAGGTTGGGCACACGATCGACGGGGTTATCAGAGAAGCGAGCGAGATTTGCATACGCGAAACATGTCCCCGAAAGACGCTAGTGAGTAGGCAAGTGCTGATTGGCTCGATGGACGGGACAGCGCGTGGCTGAACAACGTTCCGACGTCAACGGTCCGAATTAACATTTTCCTTCGCCGCAAAAGGCCCGTCCTGTCAGG